TCAGAGTATTGTCTCTCGAATAAAGAAAAGTCATCATCATAGTGCTGACATCCCACAAGACCTTGTTTATTCCAAAAGTCACATATTTCCCTTGTTACGCTTGAGTATGTTCACAAGCCAATGTCATCATGACACTCATACCCCAGGTCATCTTTCTTCTGGTGGACAAGCTCAGCATAAACTCCTGTGTCATTGGCATCATCAGGGACAACTTGCACTGAGAAATGCCGCTGAGAAATGCGTTGCCAGTCTCTGACCTGCGATCAAGACGAAAGCAGGTTATTCCGCTGTGGAGTCCTAGTTTACGACTGCAAATCGCCTTGATCCAACTGAGTTATTACTGTATCAGCCCAATGTTGAGCAATAAATTCAATTTAGAAAACTAAATTATTGTTAACTCGTGAAATTCAGGTAGCTGGTAAATAATGAGGCATCCTTCGGAGATTTCTGAAATACTTTAAGGATCATCAAAATCTAGTTTCTTCAGATCCTAGCAATAGTCTTAGCGTACATTTTGGATCGGAAATCATTCTCACAGTGGATGAATATGCGTTTCTCAGTAAATCGCTGATAAGTGACAATGCTTATGGGGAAAACGAAATTCGGCATGAGATGTTGAAATCTTTCAATCGCGTGGTATCCTGCGACTACGTCAAATATGTCTGACTGTGCAGTTTTTGTAAAACACCATTGTTGTGACAACAGCGTATGGTTATCCCGGAGTCAAAATATAGCGATCAATATTACTTCAGCAAATACGGAGACATCTTTCTCCTCGCCCACCCCACATGTTTTACGCAGAGTTGTTGGAAAGAAGACGTTAGAGGATTCAAGACGAACAATGTGACTTCCTTCCGGATGGCAGCACAGCGAGAGTTTCACTCATCTTCAGTTCTTCGAAAAGATGCAGATCGCGTGTGAAGGAGGCTTATGCTTGATTCACAAACTCAAAGAAAGTTAGGGCGAAGCGGCCATTTTGTACTGTCGAGAAATGCCAGTCAGTCCATCATATAAGTAGGTAGAGTGCAACTAGAACAATTACATATGTTTATTTATCTCGGAGTTGCATTCAAGAATAATGACTAGCAGGACTTAGGAGCAGACATTCGGATTGGCCAAATGAGCTCTGTACTGCAGGAGCTAAACGGCTGTGGAGCTGAGCAGTAATACAAAATTATCTGTCTTCAGGTTCCTTTGTGTCTACTTTCAGTTATGGTCATAAGCGCAGGATATTGGCAGGCAGTGTGCAATCGCAGTGGATGCAAGTAACGAAAGTTATGTTTCTTCGATAGAATGCTGGTTTGACGAGATTTGATGGCGCTTGAAATTACCCTCTCGACTGTGAGCTGTTCCTTCTCCAGAGCAGAGATCACAATTTCGATGGCTTGAACATCTGATGATTATGTCATCAGGAAACTCATGAGGTAGGTTCTCTTAGCAAAGCCAAATAGAGGACAGTTGACTGCCGATTGGAACACAGTTGGGCAGATGGTTCGATCATATAAATCTGGTTTTGTACCTCAGAACCCTAACCGTTAAAATATGCCGTTAGTCGGCGGATCGAGATAACTGAAAAGGCCTCCTAAAGCAACTGCCCACCATCCAGAAGAAATTGCATGAACAAAAGCCGTCAGCCCATGTAAAGGACGATGCGGTATGGCAGTTTGTAAGAGACTGACTTGTCATGCAAGGGTTTCATTTGATTTCCACCCTTAGCTGGTCTAGGATGGGAAACTTGGCAGATGCAACTTGCAATACTACAGCTCAAAGATGCCTTTTTAGAATCGCGAAAATATGCAAAATCTATCATCGCACTAAGTTGGTATTTCAGGCTATCAAATTTTATGAATAATTTTTGTGGAAATAAATAGTTATAACAGTGGATCAGCGGCGCCATTCTAATTTATAATGTTGGCCTGTGGAACTCTGCGCTGCGAGTTACCACCTGATCTTCGAGAAACTATTGTACCTGAAGGGTCAGTCTGTTGTCTGTACCGCAAATTGGTAAGTAAGATACTGGCGCAACATCTTGAAAGGAATGGAGAAGCATATAATAGTTAAGATACAGGTTTCTTTTATGTTTCCAAAATTGACACTACATGCGTTTTATATGCGATATCGATTTACGTTGAAGCGCCAACAACCAGAGGTACCATTATTCAAATATTTACAGATATACAGCCTGCAGTTCCCTGGCTTTATTATCTCCCTGTGGTCACAATTCCTGTGGGTACTGTATTTACTTTTCAATTTGTAGCGTCTTCAGTGCAACAAATATGTTCATTTCTGTCACGAGGGCCCGTAAGCCCATTTATAAGCTCGCGCAACTTAGAACGAACTGTTGCATTACTTCAGCGGCATCAGCGAGCGCAACGGGCAGTGCGTCCTCCTGAAAGCGACTGACGCGAAGTAACTCAGAGCAGTCGCAAAAGTGAGGGACGATGAAAGGCTATATCTCACTTTGGACAGCGCAAATCGGTCCAGCTTGCGCTACGCGCACGCGAAATTCGCAATATGTTGCCTCACGTTAACGCCGATTTTAGTAATAATTCGAAGCGTTATAAATCCTGATGCACTGATAGTCGCTACTGTTCTGGAACCGACTGACCTTCGAGGTGAAGTGCAGCAAATGGCCTGCGTAAAAGATTAAGTGCTTGGCGCTTCTTGCGCGCTTCGATCCTCGATCTGGGATGATGGCGATGCTTACAATCGACGGTCAGGTCCAAGTCGAGGCCATTCCTCATCAGACTTAAAACCGACGTCCTCATCTTCTTTTTATCATAAATTACGTTATAAATGGCGATCGGCTGCGAGGTCGTGCGATCACAGACTGTGTTCGAGAATAATACTGGGCGTCCGTAGCTACGGCGCAGTCGAACGCTCGTCTCTCTGGGTCAT